ACGCCGCAAAATAGATTTCGTAGCGTTCCATATCGCACACACATATATCGTAGGTGTAGCTCGAAGATTGCAGCTGTACTTCTTACCGCACGACTTCCAAAGATAAATTTCCAATTTGGTGAAGGACCCGAAACAGCAGGTTTATCTAGCCGTCTTTAGTGAAGAGAGTCATCACCTCGACGCATAAAAAAAAAGCTACATTTCGCCAGCTGTCTGACGCTAATAGAGGACGTATTCTTTTTAAATGACCGTCAATGATCTGTGAGTGCGTGAGTGAGTGCTGAGTGTGTGGTACTATTATTAATTATTGACTAAAAATAGTGCTATAAAAAAATTTCAGAAAAATGGTAAAGCATAAGCTTTGCACCACCTAACTTATAGTGTGTATTTAGCATGGACTGCCCATTTACCTTATAAACGGAATACGTTTTCTGAAAGTAACATCTTACTTATATAGAGGCAACAGCGAGATAGATGCTAAGATCTGGTGTGTCTGGTGGTGGTGGTGCGACGAAAGCCAACCGCTGTGTATAAAATTATATACTTCAGATTTATTAAAAATTCGCGTACGCCACAAAAACCGGCCTAGTAATTGTCGATATTCATAAGCCTCTAGCAGCCTCGTAAAAATGACAAGTTTACGGAACGCCTTTGTTTCACCTTTGTACAGGTATTTTTAATTTGGACTCCAGGAACATCGGTATCCGATGTACGACACGGCGCGGGGGGCGGTAGCACGAGGCGGAGTGGCGCTATCACAGCGCAAATATCTCAGAAAAATCTGTATATTAATTATAATAGAAGGAATATAGATTTTAAGGCTCTCGTCGTTATTCACTAATTAATTACATGTTTCTACCGCGATGTGAGTTCTTGAAAACAAAAAGAACTCATATCGTGGTAAGAAACCTATAACTAATGATAATAGTAAATAATAAAAACTGCCTCAAGAAGCAGATTGTTGCGTTTGTATAAAATCAAACGCGCGTACAAAGCTATACAAACGTGCGTGAAAAGAGTGTGTATCGCGTTTTACGCGCGTATGAATCGTTTAAATAACAACATCTCGTTGCAAGGCTGACGAGAGCTTGAGCACTTTTGAGGTCGGTTGTTTTCATAATGAAGACTGCCTTTTTTGTCCGTGGCGTAGAAGTCGCGATGGCTTATAAGTCTGGAAAGGTTTACTGCAACGAGCATTGCATAAAACGTCGCTGGGATCCACTCAAACGACTTGCGCCGAAGTTGGTTTAGTCTAGATTCGTGGTGATGATGACTATTTGTATTTTATCCGCGGTAAAATTCAGTTGTGGACTACGATATCTTATATTTATTCTAATAGTATATAATCTTCTATGAAAGAGTGCACAATGGCGGCATCATGGAGTCCGTCAGTTTGTCATGTGTCGGCAATCTATTAAGCGGCAAAAACGCGGTGGAACGCCTCGGATCGCATAAAATATTTATGAGATATCCTCCTTCCGCGGTCGGGCGTGAGTGCGGGGTTGGGGCGGGGGCGGGGGCGGTGCAAGTTACGAGCTGTCGACAGAATTGCAGCTTAGTCAATATTCGGATTCCGCTTGACTTTTCGTATGATTTCCGTAGCACTCATGTGAAAATGTGTAAAAATAGTACTTTTAGCTTTGCCTTGCAATCAGCAGTTGGTGGGCTCATCTTGAAGCTGTTATATAGAACACTGCGAGGTGTCTGTGATTGTTAGTTCACAAAAGGACGCACTTCCCTATGATGTGATAAATTGTTAGTATAGCACATGAATGCGAAGATGTTTCTATACCGACAGTGATATAGATTTTGCCCCGCAGCGTTACTTGCACATAAGTTAAGCCGCTCGTGGCTCGTCTACCGTCCTCTGGCCTAGTGAGTACGTAAATGTTTTGTTTTACATTATGATCATTGTACCTATATGCACTGTACTTTCCTCTGTGCGCAAATGCACTTACGTGTAACATATGTCAACCAAAGAGTTGACGAAAGTACGTAATTATGCTTTAGGTATATTTTTTGGCATGGTTTTTCCGTGAATGAAAAATATGAGGACTGATGTGTACAGTACTCTTCAGTTGACAATCAAGTGTAGTTAAAAATTTTATTTTATTTTAATTTTTTATTGAATTGGTATTCAGTTATTTTTTGTAAAATTACTCCACTAGTTTGTTATAATTATTAATACAAAGATAGAACACTCAGGAAAAGAAAAAGATCTTTGTATTAATAATTATAATTTTATGAATTTATTATTTCTAAATAGAAATAGTCTCTAAAAAGGCTTGGCGGTTGATGTAAAGTGGCAACCATCTCAGAAACTATATGGTTTACCGACAAATTTCTGTGGTTATCCACATCGCGTAAGTCTACTACTACTGTCTGCGTCAGTTCACATTGACAAATTGTGCTCTTTGCCACGATTAATGGACGTGTGACGTGGTATAGATTTATGTTTTCTTTCTCAGCAAAGCTGATTAATGTGCGTGCGAACACGGTCGGCGGTGGAGAGGGCGTAACACAAAGTGTGTCATAGACAAAATTAAAATAAACTATATTATTACGACTTGGGTTAATTGATGTTGCTTCGTACAGTCTGCAGCTGCTGCTTAAGGGTGGTTGTGCTGTTGCTTTGGTGGCCGCTGGTAGCGGCAGTCCCGATAATGAGAGTGTCGTTCGAGGCAGTGATCTTGGCGGCGGTGGTGTCGAAAGCAGTATCGTTGAGTGCCAAGCTCTTTGCTATACTGCCGGCCCGCCTATTACCGCGGCGCCTACCGTCGCTGTCGTCCGAAGATGGTTCTTCGGATTCTGAGTCGGACGATTTTTTGCTTTCGTCAGTGAGTCTCACACTATAGTCATAAAAGAAGTGTGTTCCGTGCTCCGGGTCATCTTTGCATCTATGATCGTGGATTTTAACGAACACTGAAAAGGAAAACGCTTTGTAAAAACCGCGAGCTGCACATGCGTTGTACATTGCAAAGTCGCGCGTGACCCACAAATCACGTGGACCTACTTGTTGGATTCCTTGCGCTTACCTACAGCTTACAGTACTTTTACACAAAAGAAATGACTATCTACCGTGGGTTTTACTCACTCGTTCCATCCTGGCAGTTCCGTAAGTGCATGATGCACGGGCTCTTGAACGAGCGCCGCGCGGTCTGGTAGGCGCCGCATATCCATTCGACCTCAGGGCTGCGCCATTTTTTCTTTTGGTCTTCTACACACGCCTGACATTTGCGATGCCACTTTTTCCTGCAATAGCCCTTTTGGTCACAAGTAAAACAAGTATTCGCATCACACAAAGTGACCACACTTGTTACTGAGCCGTTTCGACGGATACCTCCGTATGATACAATTAACCAACAAAGTAGATACTGGCGCCTTTTTATAGGATTGCAAATATCTATTTCGCAGTGTCATTAATATACGGGCTCATAGCGCGCGCGTGCACTCACCAGCCATGGCGTTCTTCGGTAGACTTGGGCACATGTTTGACGTCCTGTTTCTTTTCTGTGCTGTCTTCATCCTCATCGGTCAGCCCTAGGCTCTCGTCGTCCTTGCTTCCTGCCAATGTAAGTCAGAAGTCATAGTATTCTGTAATGAATGCATGGTATTTGAGGGACTGATAAGTTGACTAGGTCGAACTCCTTCACTTTTATAATAATAATCCTAAGTTATTTATTAGACGGCAGTTATTTTTAATCCATTGGTTAGTGTTACAATCATCTTAGCAGCTGTTATTGGTACTAATAGTAGTAAATTTAAAACAATGATTATCACTGACATTAGGTTTCTTACCACGGTATGACTTCTTTATATGTATCGTATCTTTATATGTATCGGTATGAAATATCGAGAAAATAACAAGAAATCATACCGTGGTAAGAAACCTGATATTAATGATAATCATTACATTTAAAACAAATTAAAATTAGAATCAATATTAAACTATTTTAATTTTAATTCAGTAATGAATTAGCGAATACTAGACAACATTTTCATTAAAATATAATTTTTATATTAGGCAATAGTGGAACCATGCTACAATGGTTCATATAGGTACGTACAGTGAAACCGTTCAGCAAATACCCTCAGCATACCATTGCGACTGGCTCGCACCCTGCGCACTAGGAATATGCACCCCTTGCGCATGATTGCACGGAAGCAATGCACGCGCGCTTCAGGGAACATCTCCGATGCACTGCAGAAACGAGGTAGCCCCAAAAGTACCCTAAATGCATTATTATACTGGACACGAAGCGCGTTGTACTGTTTTAACTTGCATTTCACCCACAGACAATAATAATAATAATCTTTATTATCTCTGCAAAGTTTACACTGTACACTTACATTAATTGATATATGTTATAGACCACAATATTTGCAGAGACTGATGCCTGAAATAGATTGATCCTGTATTTCAGGGCGCCAGGTCTCTACCTCCTTAAAAAAATCATTAACATAATGCATATAAGTATAGGCAAAATAATCTATGTTGGTGAGACAAAATTTTAAATAAAGACTGGGTTACTTAAATGATTATGTTAAATCACGCAGTACAGAGCACTAGTACAAAATTTTGTTGGTTACATTTTCGGTGAATCCAACATAATTTTTGTTTCAACGAATTCGATATTTGTAGATTCCTTAAAATATTAGATATGTACAAAAGTTATTGCTTTTGACCAAAACCACTTTCGCGTCCGCCACTCGTATCTCTTCATACATGCCCGTTTATTCGTGGTACGTTTAAGTCGAGACTGAAAAGGCATTTTCTAGCTAAGCTCCGTCCTCGGCGACCCCCTTAAATATGATTCACAGTTATAGGGACACCCTGTACGTACCTATATTGGGTGGTAGGTAAAAGACGCAGGTCTAAAAACGGCTTTGGCTGTTAATACACATTGCGTTGATGAATGTATTATTTTTAATTTAATTGCTAACAGTAAATTACAAGGAGAACACTTGCCAGTGCCGCCTTTTTTTTCGTCGCTGTCGGAGGACGTGGAGCGTTCTGGATGGTGTGTCTTCGGGGTCGAAATTTTTTCGGTGGCGATGACAGCGGTTCTTTGCGGCTTTGCCTCCACCAGCAGGCTGCTGTTGCTCATGTCAATCGCTAGGTCGCCTGTAACACGCTCAGTGAGTAGCGTAATCGCGCGTTAAATTATGTTGATTTTTTCATTCATGATATCTATTTCATTTCATACAAGTACTTAAATTATGTCCTAAACAAATGCAAATAATGGATCCTTCGCCCACAAATAGCCTCGAACGTGACAGTGTCGCTGAGTGCACTCCGAAGACATTGGAAGTCCATTTACTTAGCGGACCCGCGTGCAACGCAATGGGGTGTAAGAGTAGGTAAGAACGACAATATGCAAGAATGTAAATAGTTACGCACCCACTGCCAAAACGAGTACCAGCCTGACAACCGACAATGACATATTCATGGACGTCGCTTACGCACAAAGGGTTGAACCACAAGTGATCGTCCAAAATCGTAAATTGAACTGAATCGCTTTTATATATTTTCAATTTTCGTTTTACGTCCGTGATACAGGTTAACGCGTGTTGGGTCGCGTGCTCCGACAATTCTTTCGATTACATGCAAACGTGTGTTTATGGAATTGGTCCAATTCGAGCGCGAACAGTTCTGTACGAAATCTACGATTAACTATTTCGCTTTCGAAATCTCTATCTTGATGTATTTTGTAAACATACAATTTTTCATTAATATGAAACTTGTGACCATTGCGTCGGTTAGTATTAATTAGTTGAACCTCTATAAAATATATTGTGCTTCATAGTTGCCATAGATGTGTATTTGTAAACATGACAATATACCTGAGACAGGGAAAAGGGAAAAATAAAAAAAAGTATGCATGAAACCCGTACTAACCTTCGAAATTATATCTCATACAATCGGTGGATACGCGAAAAAAAAAAACGCATTTAGCTGTCTGTGATTTTCCTGATCATAGATATTTTTAAAATGTATTTATTAAAGAAACGAAATAAAGGTTTAAGATTCAAACACAAGTTAAGAGCTAGGGTAAAACTAACGAGATTAAATCTCCACGTCAGGGTTATAATAAAATTGTTTTTGTACGCATTTGTTTCGATCACTGCACTCTTAAAGAACACATCTTCTAGTATTGCTCTTTCAAGATACAAATTAAAAGTAATATACATGACTCAGTACAATTATTTGTAAATATACACGCTTGAATAACCAGAATTTGAATGCACGTCAAAAACGATTAAGTACCTTATTATATCATTAATGTCTTAAAATAATTGATTACATATTAAATAACTAACTATAATTAATTATTCCAATTATATTTAATTTAGGATAGAGGAGACTGGTGCTCAGCGGTGAGACATATAATGGGTTATGGCGAAGAAGGGTAACTATGTACTAGCGTAGTGCGCGGTGATGAGAAGTTTGGCGACGTCGATTTCACGTGATCAGTCGTAATACGATTATGTTTGTTCTTTTGTGGCTTCAAATGCTGAACAGCCAATTCAGTGTGCCCGACGCTGTTGTAGTGGGCGGTGAATTCAAGAAGTGATAAGCCGAAATTGCTGACGGCGCGGATGGCCTTGTCCAGGCCTCCATTATACGAGTACATGCGCCGCGTGACATTTGCAACGCTTTTGAGTTTCGCACTCCGAGAGCTGTGATGGTTGTATGTGGCAAAGTCTTTAACGACCTTATTACGATAGTAGGCACTGGTGCTGTTGCTGGTTAGACGACGCGCATTGCCATCTCTAACTTTTCTTGAATATCTTTTAATTTGAAGAATCTTACTGGTAGGATTCACGACCTCAGTCAGTATATTCACATTCGTCGTGGTGACGTTATTAGACGCGTTCTGAGGGTCCATTGCGATGCTGCTGTTAGTAGTTCTGACTGATGGAACGGAGACCCCTGCTCGTCTTTTCAGCGCCCGCCTTTCTTCTTCGTACGTGCTCAATTCTTCATTCATGTTAGATGCCTCACCATCTTTTTCTTCCGTCGATTTCACGTCGTACTCGTAGAAGAAGTGGGCGCCGAATCTCCCAGTCTCATCGTCCTTGCATCGGCGGTCGTATATTTTGACGAACACTGCAAGCAAATAATTATAGCCCGTTTGTAATGTAGACTATGACCTTGTCCAGAAGAGGCTAATTCGCGCGAATTTATACGCGCATCGCCGAGGTATTGGACCTTTATGTAGGCTTATATAAGCGTCCACAAGCATCGCGCGAGTTTAAAATTCGCGCGTAAATAGCATGCAGTACGCCAGACTCTCGACTCGCGCTTATGACTTGTGTCTAAAAACTCCTTGGTTACGGTCTTGTCCAGAAGAAGCGAATTCGCCGCGTATCGTCTAGTGCGTCTAGAAGAAGCGTTCGACGCGCGAGCGTTGGAGGACGGTTTCAGTCAGACCACGCAAAATGACTCAAATGTTGATATTGAATTTGCGCAGAACATCATTAAAGCTTTACGTGCGTGACGTAGTGTTCTTCACAATTACGTCAGATTAAGAGAAGGCTGCAGATTTAATAGTTTATGCAAGGCTGCAAAACTGTTGTTTGACGCGAGTGCTTGTATTGAAACCTGAGCAAGCGAAGGATACCAAGAACTTGAACTTGAACTTGGTTCAAAAATAGTGTGAATGAACATTTTCCACGCTAGCGTGCAGATTTGTGATGGGAAAGAAAACCTTTCCGCGCTAGTGGGGTGAAAAGATGCATTGTACGAAACATCCCTAGATGACCTACGAACTACTACAGTTCGACCAGGCGTAAGGTCTCGAAATACAAGAACATATTACCTGATTATTTTATTTGCGTCACCATCATCATCATTTCAGCCAAAAGACGTCCACTGCTAAACATAGGCTTCCCCTTATGTTCTAGTTGCGTACTCAGATGTTGCCGTTCTGTTTTCTATTTCATCAATAAACATTTCCGTATCAAAATATTGCCGCTCTATTTTCGTAGATACGTGCACTCACTCTGAAGTTCGCGCGTAAACTGGACGTAACCAACGTAAAAAGGAGTTTCTAGTACCTACCTCGGCTCGCGCGAGTGACGCGCATGATGCGCGCGAGGCGAGAGTCTGGCGTAAAGATTGCACGCGATTTACGTTCGAATTCTAAACTAACGCGATGTATTAGCGTCCAGCTGCTGGCTACCAAGTAACAAATGTGGCTAAGGAACAAACGGTCAAATATTCGTTTTAAATAGCATAAGATAGGGCACAAAATTATTTTTTAAAAACAGTTATAATTAGTTAGCGGGTTCGACTTATCGGAACTTACCCCAACGATGCCTAGCTGAGATATCATTAAACAATTTCAATATTCTAAAACTGGGATGTGGTTTTTTATGATGTCTCAAAAAAATATTTTGTCGCCTTGCCGCGTTGTAATCGGCGGACGGCAGCCAGTCGACTCGTCGACGCGCTTATGAATACGCGCTCCTTCTTACTTACTTATTATTATTAGGCAAAATATTGATATATATATGTTTATAGGTGAAATAGAAAAAAGACCGGCAATATGGTATGGGATCTTCCTAGTACCTAATAGCTAATAGAACTTTAAAACCATAGAAAGTCACAAACATGCTAGTGTCATACTTCGTAAAGAATTGTATCTACTAAGCAAATTCAGCTTTCTATTATGCTGGCATATTGAATACTGACTGAATCTGTCGTGAAACCCACGCGCTTATTCTGGAGAAGGCCTATGTTACATCAATTACAAAATCATAAAATATATGCGGTTGATTATGCTCATTTCGTATGGGGAATCAGATGTTTAATAATAATAATCGTTTGTTTCAGGCAATTCGGCCCACATTTGTTAATTACAGTAATTACAATAACTGGTGAAAATATTTTGTAAATTCAAGATAAATATAAAAATTTAATTTAAATCCCGAATATAAAAATATTTGTTTTTGCCTTTATAGTTTCATCGTAACTGCGAGCATATCACAGACCCAAAACTTATTAATATGTTTTATTATGTAATGTACGTAGCAGTACACACGGTGTATATAGTGCAAACTGCAATTAAATATTTGTTTATTAGCATTGTAAATAGCTGGAAGCTATATTATTTTAACAACAGATTACCTATTACCTAAGGAGTCCGGTTGTGTGCATACACAAAGCAGTGGCGTGACTCATGCGGACGCACGATCACGTGCGCTCTTGCGTATACACGTTGCGGAATAATAATAAAATAACATCCGGAAATGCTTCTTCAGATTTACCAATATTTTACCCAAAAAAATATTGGTTGGAGTGCAACATTTGTTCCGTAGTAAGCCTATAGATTATCATTAACTCCTTTATGACTTACTAGTTCCATCTTGGCAGTTGCGGTGGTGCATCATGCATTCGCTTTTGAAAGTGCGACGTGCGCGTTGGTACGCACCGCAGATCCACTCGATGGTGGGATCTGACCACTGCTTGTGCAGCACGTCAGGGCACGGTTTGCACTTGCGGTGCCATTTCCTCCTAATGACAGATGTTAAACATAAATGGTGTGTGATATAATGTAGAAATGTCGCTTCGTTTAATTTCCTTAAATCAAAAAGTAGTCTACTGCTTGGATATGATATTTATGCCCTTGATATATTGATATAGGCGTGAGTGATGCGTGAAGTAGGACTGTCACTCACCAGCCTTTCCGCTCTTCGGTGGACACAGGCCAGTATTTATTACGCTGGCCGTTGTGTGAACCATGAGAATCATCTCCTGAATTGGACATCGGGAACTCCGTGTCCTCAATGGTATCTGGAACGAACAACGCACGGCGTCATAATATTTAACCGTATTGTAGTCGGCTCAGTGATGAAAAAATCATGACTTGCTTCACGTGGCGCTTATCGGCGGCAGGGGAAGCGGAGTGCGATGTCTACCTTCGTCTTTTTTATTGTCACTGTCTGATGATGTGGACCGGGGAATGTCCGTTGCTTTGCTGCGGGCGACGTGCGTGCGCCTTGCAGCCAGCCATTGGTCAATGCGCATGCGCCCGGAACGCCGCCGCTGTAGGAGAGCGCTCGCGTGTGCGGGCGTGAGGCTGTTTGCCACTTCGGTTAAACTGGAAGTGCTCAAAGCAAATACCACATCACCTGTGGAAACAACAAAATAGGTCAACACGCGCTACTACACACATTCTAAAATACGCAGAACTCGTATTCGTCTCTTCTAAAGGATGTCTTAAATAGATTTTTACTACAAAATTGGTTCAAACGTTCAATCAAAACGAAAGGAGCCCTCTTCACGTGTTTTCTAATCACGCACATGGCAAAGCGCACTGAATAGCGTCGTTAATTGATTAACGTACGATAATTATTCATTACTTAGGCCTGATTTCTCTTAGGCCCGTCTCGGTCCGAAGCGAGATTTAAGACACCCTTCATTATGTAACCGGATCATTCCGCACCTAATGCTAACACAAAAAGGAGGCTCGACCGTCTTAACTGCACCATGTTTCCTAAATACTTTTGTACCAAAACAGTACCAGAAATAAATGTTTCTGATATAACTATTATTTAAAGGAAGTTAACAATTTTCAATTGTTATTTTATGAGACTCTGAATGACCACAAACGTTACGTGACGTCAGTTTCCGCCTTTACCTACAATACTGTTGGGAAAATGATTATTTTGTCAGCAACTGGTGAATTACCTTTTTGAGCACGGTTTTGTTAATAAATAAAAATGCATCCGTAGAAAGTGTTTATTGGAGAGATGTCAATCATCTCTATACTTGATTATAAATCAAACAATACTGTGGAGTCGCGATGCAGGACTACACTCCATAGAAATAGAAGAAGTGACGGCCGTGGTACTCGTCCGCCTTGCATCGATTGTGGGATATCTGGACGAACACTGCAATGCGAAATTAATCATCGTTATTTTTGCAGAATCAAATGCTAAAATGCCTCGATCACAAGTGAGAGCGATACGGAAAATTTCCATTTCCCTAAAAATAAACTACGTAACTATATTTCGCATTGTTTTTCTAAATGAGAAGACAGTCTCCATCATTATCGCATTTCGTTGTATTCTGTGGCGTCATTGGTAAAAGTAGGCCATTAGGCGTTTGTGCTTTATGTATTTCATAAATATTTTCCCATCGACGAGACTGTATAGCGGATAATCCATAGATTCTACGCTACCAAATACTAGGACATCAAGATGCAGAAGGGCTTACGATGGCGCTACTTTCGTGGTTTCAGTAGGTTCTGTGTTACATCAGATCCTTATAACTATTTTTGTATTCCCAGAGGCTTCTGACAGGTTATCTAACAGTTTTTTTTATTATGAAACCAAGTGGCGGGACGAACAAGTCGTGCACCTGGTGGTAAGCGACACGCTTGTCCACAACAGTTACAGTGCCATTGTAAACTTTAAACCGTAAACATCTGGGGCACACTGCCACTGCTCCCATCACCCTGTGACATAAATTGACAAGCCCCGTGTACCTGTAATTTCACCAGCACCCCTTAACCTTCAAAACCGGAACGCAGTAATGCTTATTACTGCTTAGCGGCAGAAATAAGTAAGGAATTCTAATCTGTACAGCCAGTTTTTATCACCCCTATCACGGCCACGCTTCAACTTGATATACCAGTTGTAAACTACTACGAAGAACGAAGCTTCCGTCTGAAATTCAAAATAATCTTTGACGTGTTTCACACACCTTTCAAATAATTACTATCGACCTCAAGCGAAACTACCAAATTTCTGTAAGCGGTGGTAGATAGAGAATCGAGCACACACACACACGCACGCACGCACGCACGCACGCACGCGTACGCACGCACGCACGCACACGCACGCACACACAGGGGATATTAGATCGTGTAGGTACTGACTAGTGCCGTCCTGGCAGTTACGATAACGCATCATGCACTCGCTCTTGAAAGTGCGGCGAGCGCGCTGGTACGCGCCGCAAATCCAATTGATACCCACGTTGGTGTATTTCTTAAGCATGTCCTCAGGACATGACACGCACTGCCGGTACCGCTGCTTCCTACGGGACATGAATAATCTAATTAGGTAAGCGATGTCGAGTCTATTCGAAATAATATGATGCACAATTGACACAACCTATTTTATCACAAAGGTAAACGAGTTACTTACTTAAGTTCCAGTTCATTCGTTTCGTCAGAAGACCCTTTGTCAGAATGTGTTACTTGCTTGTCCTTCTCTTTTGAATCTGTTGAAATGTCCAAGCTGAAAGCAACAACAACTATATGTATCGTCGAATGATCGTAGAAAGCGGAGCGTCATCATGTGGGTACATGAACATTTCATGAAATTACATTATTTTTAAATATTTTTTTTGTTGTCAGTGAAGTGGGTTTGCTATTCGCATATCCAAATTATCGATGTGTTATCTGGATACAACTTCTTTGCATATACGGATAATCGGAAATTTCGGATACTAGAACAATTTTAGATTATTATAGTATTTAGGTAAATAAATTTACAACTGATTATTTTATTTTGTTGACGATAGCGAGACTGATAAATATGAATGTTTCAATTGTTTGTAAAACATTTGCTGTTTTTTAAGTTTCCAACGAAATAATAAAAAAATAACGTTACATAAGTTTAGTTTAGTTCTTAGTTTCACAAAGTGGTTCCTATCGCCCCCAGTAGGTGCTGAAGAGTCCTCGGGGAGCGGTACGGACCTTGGAAGCAATTTAGGGGCGTTGATGCTATCCAGGGGGTGCTACCGCATTTGAAAAAAACAAAAGAAACTGAAATATCTATGTAATCTACACTACAAATATAGATATACACTTTATTGCTTACACACGACGACAAGAACAGTAGGTACCTACATAAACAACTTAAAACTAATGTGGAAGAAAAGATATAATATTTTATAAAACGTTAAAGGAATTCCTTATAGCAAAATGCCCAAATGACATTAAAGAATTTTTAGAAGGTAATTAGAATATAAGAGAATGTTTGTAATTTTATATGTTTCATTCATTATTCAATAAGACATTTATGTATTCCATTTATTAATTTGTAATTTACTAAATTCATTTCATTTTTGACATTTTAAATTTTATTCTTATGTTATTGCAATGCCCTTACAGGGCTGTCACTAGCTCTAGAACACCACGTACTACAACATTGATGCAATAAAGATTATGACTATGACTATTATGACTATGACTATGTGGACAAAGGCGGTCTTATCGCTAAGAGCCATCTCTTCCAGACAACATTTGAGGTAGAGGAAAGCTAACCGACACAGGAGACGTAGTGTGACTATTTACAAAAAAAAAATACATGTTTTTTATATGATTTTTTGTGTTGATATAAAAAATACGTGTATTCAATTGTTTTTGTGGTGAAGGGCGTTGAATTTTTTTTCACGTTGCCTAAGAGGGCGGTGAGCCAAGATGTTTGGGAAACTGTGGTTCAGTTGATGTTGTGGAGTCATAGTCATATTTCAATAATTCATGTGACAATACCATGCAAGACCGTAGACTTATTTATTTTTATTTAACTAGAATGAAAAAGCTCGCTCTGAACCGTAATTGGTTCAAACGTCCCCATAGCACTGGCAGCATTACCGCCCTGAATGGCTAATGAAATTTGTTGCATCAGGTAAGAGCGTGGACCACAGCCTCTATCTCTGAGCCGCTATATTAAGTTAAATTGAATGGAAAAATTACTAATTACTAAACTGCCGCGCATAAGCAAACTACTTAATTAAAATTAACTGTGCGCTATATCTATGGTTGAAACTATCAATTACACTGCCCATAAATAGGACTTCAAAAATAAGCACTAATTTAAGGCTATGCGTGACCCTTAATAACTTTGTTCAACACTTGCCCTAACGGGGTGCGAGACGACACTTAGCTTTTTAAATAGTTGTAACGGTTCCACTTCGGTTCCTGCTATCTTATGCTATAATTATGTACCTACCGTATTGCCGTTATGTACAATTTGATTCACTTCATGGATTTTTTGTTGTTATAAGATTACACGCTTCCAAAAGAGGGTTGGATTCCAAGAATGTTGCAATAATCTTTGGTTTTCACAAAACGGAATCTTTTGGGCGAGGAAAAGGGCCGCTCCGGACGCGGACGGTGCACAAGCCAGCCATCACCGCTGCGCGGGGGCAACGAGCTTTCCCCAAAATAATGGCGCAGTAAATTGGCGCTCTCGTCCCGAAACGGCATACAGTCGGCATAAAAATGTTAAATTATTCGTCAACTATTGAGTTGCGTCCCACTGCAGAGCACGGGCCACAAGTCATTATTCTGAATTTTTTATTTTTACTGTCTATAATGTACGTACGACGTCACAACGTGTTTTGGCCACAAGTCCTATTTAATACTTTGCGTAACCGATATGTCATAAATAAGTAAACTTGACGCTTTTCGTCCACCAAATGATTCGAATGAATGAAGGTTGCTTAATACGTCCAGATTTTCGTATTCTATCCTTCCTGCGCATAAATCACTCATGTATGTCATTGGATGCCAAATCTTTAACATAATTGTCTTTCATCAAGCTCGCATAAGCTACGTGTTTCGTTCCCTACCGTTCTTGAAGCTGGCATTACAAATTTGCAACTACTGGTGTGGTCTGAGTTAATGTCGGTGCCACACCTAACGCTTTTGATGCTATTCTTAAATCGACGGATAATCATGATACAGTCGAGATTCTGTTTTATATATAAAAGAAAGTAATGAAGATCCATTTGTCTATAATATCCCGATATAAAAAATATTGTTATCCGAAATACCCAGATCCTGCAAATAAGCGAATAATACAAATCCTAGCAGTAAACCTTACAGATATTTTACACATTCAATAAAAGTAGATTTAATTTTTTATTGAATTTATGGCACACATAATGGGTCTATCTACATCGGGAAAATGTTGGAAACTTTTGCAATAAACAATGAGACGAGTATTAGTCGAGTGTATCATACACTGATCAGACATTCGAATTGTAAGATCGACCAACAACGGCGCTCATCATGCACCGCACCATTATGCCGAACCACTGGGAGGGTTGCGCTCGCCCTCGATTGTAGCAGCGTTTTAAAGTGTTTATTGCATAAAACTTATGTCGAGGACAGTACTTGCTTTACTTTGCGAATTTATCCCGTACATAAAATCAAACATCAAAACCAATCATTTTATACCGGCCTGTTCGTTCGCCCAGTGTGGTATATTTGTCAATGTTAACATTGACGGAAGGGATTGTGTTCTTTGAAATTCATATGGGTACCTCCCTATCTACATAATAAACAGTGTATTTTGCATTCTCGCCATATTTAAGAAATTAATAATAGAAATAATACTAAATCATCTAAAAATATTAAAAAATATATTCAGTTTCTTTCTATATATATTATTATTTCTCGATCGCTTATTTACCTTTTTTTAAATTATGTTGATGTACTAGTATTGTTATAATTTACTAATTATTTACATTAGTTACAAAAGGTGACTGAAAAAAGATTTTTTGTAACTTAGATTTGGTACTTACCAACTTTAGCTTACATGAAAGTAATGCTAGAAGTACGCTATGCAGAGTTTCGTTTCAACTTAGCACATGCTTCACAACAGAAAAAGCAGACAGAAACCCGAGACGATTTTTGCGCGCAATTCTTCGACACTCGTAATCTGCGTTTACTAAACGTTTCACATCATGCCATAAGAACGCACTCGATGGTAATGCAGGATTTGGTGAACCTGGTCGCGATTATTTTTGCACTAACTCTTGTTTACAAACCGAACCACGTGACATTTCGTGAGAAACTAGAACGTATGCGCGATGTCAGCGAAACGTAGACGCAATACGCAAGGTCGACTGATGATCTACCAATCACGCGCTCGATACGATACTCCCCCCGTCCCTACCCGTACCCTACCACCAAATAGATCTAAAATGCATATTTTTTGCGCATAGGTCATTGTGCAAGTCACCTTTGGATCAAGCACGGTTACCGCAATTAAATAAAAATTAGAATTTAGGATTTTTTTTTCAATTTATTTTGTTTCGGATATAGAATGACCTCTGTAAATATGGCGAAAATGCAAATCAACACATTGTATCCTTAGATATGCTTTTTTGTAATACCAAGTGACTGGACGAACAAGTCGTGCGCCTGATGGTAAGTGACTCGCCTATCCATAACAGTTTCAGTGCCATTCAGAGCTTTACGTCACAAAGGTGACAGTACTTCGCTGCTAAAAATTAGTAATAAAAATTTTATTGCATGCTCCATAATAAGAGACGAATTATTTTAACTAGCAGTCATTTGACATCCCACTCGATGGAATAGTTTTATCATTGTCTACATCAACACTCGGCTGAGAGGTAGACAGCAAGGTGGCGGAACTCCAAAGTGAATAAATCCATTAGTGGTAGATGAAACTAATCTTACACCAAAAGCATTTATGCACATATGTACAGCTTGCAGATAAAGTAACGACAAACAACATCATCAACTTTTGGACGTGGGTCTCCTACAAGAGCATAAATTGTAGGAGCAACTTTCGAAATCATATATAGCAATAGCGTATACCAAATATGGCGGGACTGACCTGGAAAGTGAGCCTGAGGTATCCAGGCCCGAGTATGACTGTTCCTCTGAAAACCTTGTGTCGCTGTACCAAGATTGCCCGCGGGCATCCGCATCCCCGTACGCGGCGATTCCGTCGCGACGCTTTAACACTTTTGGTCCTTCTTCAGCCATCTGGTACATTGGCAGCTGTCGCTTCGCGGGCATCGGCGTTTTCATGGTCCGTGACCGGAAAACTGACTCACATATATACATATATGCTTTGATCGGCCGGTGTAACCTTCACTGAAGATATCGGTATTTGTCTGTTTAGATTCCGTAGTGAACTTTCACGCACATTATCGCATCGATGACGATGACCCAGCTACTAAACAAACTGAGGACAGATTAGAAAAAAAATTGTTCCTCCCTGGGTGATCTGGATAATGTCCCCTATGTTAAAGCTTATTGATGACCTCAATTCTTCGGACACGTAGTAGTAGACTTAATTGCACAGAACAATAAATACAGTAGAAGTGGTTAAGGAGCGTACGACGCTTGCCAACATTAGATCTCCTTAGACCTACTTGAGCTCAGTCCGCCATTTTCACTTTACCATACAAAATGGAAATGGCTGCGTCATTCTTTCGCGCAAATTCGGTGTGCAAAAATGATAGCCGCACCAAAAATATTTCTTTTTATCGAAATATTTTTTTTATTACAAGAAACGAAAGTAAAGCTTATATCTCTATATCAATATGGTCGCTTCATCTTTGGAGAACTAAATAAACAACTCCTATTCGACGCCGTTCAGCAATTAACCGCTAGACGGCAGCACGTTGACTGAAATTGTAATATAAGATCAAAACGTCACAAAAGGTATTGATGGTATTGAACTTTCAACGATATGCCAACGGGGTAAAGTTTAAATTATATTAACAATCTAGAATTTGTTACCTCTTTAAAAATCTGAAGCTGAGACCGATCATTATCAAGATTTCGTAGTGTTTTAAATAAAGAATGTGTGAGTTTTGGCGACATCGGTTCTGATTGTAATCGAGTCTTGAGGCACCTGCACTGTTTCTTCCGTGTTTAATTGTGTGGTACAATTATTTAACAATTCCTTACCGCTCATTATCAACAACAACGACGTGACTCGCCCCGCAGACATTATTCAACTTTCTTATTGTTGCTGTTCTCGTTCATATCAAATTTACTTCTCGGCGTACGCTTGCCGCAATACGCATCGTGCATTTTTATTGCTTATTGAATGTTTTATTTTAATGTGTTTGGTAAGTACTAGCGTGTCAATGCATACGTACTTACACCTGACGATTTGTGTAGACGGGCCGACGACCGACAAGAAAACTCACTGGGAGTCTCTGCAGCGGTGCGTGAAGGGGCGGCCTAGCCCTCGTCACCTTGTTTACGTAAACAAATTCAAACGAGCTGCGGAACACAAAAGAGTTATTGATGGGCCGTCCGTACTCATGGCCCAATTGATTGTGCTTCGGTATTTACATTGCACTCGTTTATATGTGAGGCATTTAAAATTAATTTTGAGATATATATAAATATACATTTATTGCGTTAAATTGCATGGTTATAATAGTACTTAAATAAATTATAAAGGCGTGCTATGTCGCTTGCTAATCACACAGTAGTCACTAAGTTGGAGCGGAGTCCATAGCAGTCGCCGAGGTCGTCGCTCGCGCGAGGCACGCCCGCGCTCATCTTCGCGTTTCCGTTTGTTTCTTCGCCGCTCTTTCTATCTCCCGAAGTTGTCCGCGTCGTCTGCAACAATTACAGTGCCCCGTTCTTACTCCGGTTGCACAAATGCAAGAAACACAATGTTCTCTTGAATGTGTACCATGCGAGCAGTCAATTCCATAAACAATCGTTACTGAATTTTACTCAGACTAAGCTGCGAAGTACAACACTTGTTATTACGTTTCAAACAATAGTTCCCCGAGCGAAGCCACGGGCTAAAGCTAGTGTATCTAAAATGAAGGCATTGTAACCAAGATATTTTTATACTCGATAAACGTAAATACCTTAACATACATGACATACACTAATTATGTGCATTGCCCGCGTAATATCAGCTTTTAAAGAGAAAAATAACGTATAATATAGAGAAGAAAGGTGTAAGAAGAAGGAAGGCCTTACTAGCAGGGATCGCCCAGGCACACAGCGTAGAGATGCCCGTTGCCGTGGGAGCGGCAGAAGCACGCCTGGCACCGCTGGTGGTACATGTCTCCCTCGTACTGGCACTGCGAACCCCTGCCCCCGCCCCCTACGCCCCATAAACGCACACACAGAACACAAACATGCAAGGTTAGGTTTACAGCAGAGATTCTGTATAGTTTAGACTGAAAATGAAATTGGTAAGGTCGTCCAGGGCAATTGCGACGGTTTAAAATTACAATTATTGCTGGTGGTATGTTTGATACAAATTGATTACGTAGTTATATTTTTGTTATTTATTTGAAAGTGACACAGTTACCCCGACCACACCAGCGGTAAAGAGCGATAGATGGAGTCACCCAGAGATGTGGCGAACGTCCGCAACTGACAGCACACCACACCAGGCGTGAAAGAAGCGCCACTTTCTCTAAATAGTTTCAAATCTAAATTTTCGTCCGAGACGGTCGTATACGAAAAATTCTATAGCTAAGCCAAGGGAATTCAACGGAAGTTTGATTAAATGGAATTTGCACGAGACCCGTACACCATCTGGACTTGTAATATATTTTTAATTTATGTTCCAAAAGTTGTCAGGGCCCAAAGGGGGATTACGGGGCATATGCTTGGAAAAAAATATACGCAACCTGGTTTAAACAATTTCCTTTTGTAACGGATTTTTTTATGATGAGTATACATTCAATTGCAAAGGTGCAAACGAGTGTACTCACCACCACTGCTGCCCGCGAGGGCGCTCGCACTTGCGCTCGCGCTGGCACTCGCCATTGCATTAGACGACTGGGTATCTGTGTAACATAATTGTATTATTAGACTACCATGATTTATCGCCAGAATTGATGTTAAGATTTAAATCATCATTTTTTTATATTTATTTTGTATTTATTTATTTCTCCACATACATAGGTACAATCAATGACCTTACATAATATTTTATCCTTATTGATATAATATAGAAAAGTTATGGGTTTATTACTGAAGTATGAGAATATTTTCATACCGCAAAATATTTCACAAATAAACATCGTCACTCACTCAAATTAGCATTCGATTTGAAGGTGTCCCAGTTGCCTCCCATGTGAGGTGGAGAAGGATTGTATCCGGGTCTCGAGTACATGGAAGGATACACGTCTTGCGTGGGCAGAACTTGCATTACGCTCGGATGGGCGGTATTAGGAGGCGTATATTTATAAGTGTTAATGTTAGGGAAAAAAATGGAGTTTTTGGATTGTGTTAATAAATCCGCGCGGTTGCCAAAATTTCCTAGAGAGTAAATATTTTCGGTGGGGTAGGAGTTGATCATCGACGGTTGATAGAGCCCCGAACTGGAAGCTGTTGCCATCGCCAATGCTTCTTCGTTTCGTGACTGGTATCCTTTGTATCCATCGAGGCCATTTGTGTAGAAGTTATTATTTTGTGAGAAGGCACCGGTTTGAGCGGACGCCGGGTTGCTGGAGTAAAGTCGTTCTTTCTGATAACTGTTGACGTTCGCATATCCTGCTCCTAAACCGCTTGCGGTCTGTAGCGACGAATAAGGCATTGGACGAGTAGGCTGCAAAGGAGCGGATACCAAGCCGCCGGAGTAGCTCAGAAATTGGGTTTGTGTGTTTGCCTGGGTATTGGCCGACGTCTTTCCTTCTATGTTGGCACTGTGACCTTAAAAAATTAAGGACAGTTATGATGACTCTTGTTCATACTCGTATACAAATGCGTCTGGAGCATATTGGAGGATCTTACAGAGTGGGTTTGAAGTGCATTTGGCAACTACGTAGTTGAAAATGGACTGGCAGGTGCAGTGGTTGCAGCCGACGGCGAAGGGCTGGTACGGCAGCTGATGTCGACAACGGGGCTCTAAGGAACATATCAGTGTCTCGTTAATCAATTTGTTGTCAAACCTTTGCCTAAGTGTGAAATCAGCGTGTGTTAGTGTTGTGTGTTTATTTCTTACTCATTTTGTTAGTTGTTAAATTTACGACTATTTGGAGCGTGTCCGTTCTTTTGTCGGCTTTTTCACACCTCAAATAATTACAATATATGCAGCAAACTCACAACACCAAATGGCATTTTGTAAAAACTAAAACGAAGTTCACTCACCGATGTAAATGACTTGTCCGTTGAAAATTGAAGCTGAAACAAAATCGAATGAACGATCAATCTGTACTTCAATGTTATTCTGATTTCTATTCTATGAAGCAAAACTATTGTTAGTTAAGTCCGTTCAGGAAACTTACCAGGCCGATTGGTACCTAGAACAAAAGCACGCCGTTAAATGGGAACAAGGAATGGTGTGTTGATAATAGGGTGCGTAGGAGGCGCGGGTGCGGGCGCGGGGCGCGAGTGCATAAGTGGTTCCTGAGAAGCAATACACTTAGCTCGCCGGTCAATCATTATTGCTTAGCGTTGGTTTGTTCCCTTGATTGTTACGTGAATTGCCCATTAATTGTATAGAAGCCATTCCATATATACTCTTTTTCATTGTTTTCAGTGTAAAACCCCGCAAAATGTACATATTATTAATGTATATTACTGTTTTTGTACCAAGTTATTGGTTTTTTGCGCTAACTAAAGCAACCGAGTATATATTTCGTTCAGGGCGTTGATAGCTTTTACTGTGTTCAATTTGTCTGTACAATCCATGTAGCATTATTGTTTTATATAATGCATTGATTCGAAGTGTCTTGGAGTATTGTTCAGTATTACGGTCACACATAAAAATAGAATCGAATCTATACACAAGCGTTTTGTTGAGGAATTTAAGCACTAAAATTGTTTAAGACGCAGGCTTTCAACATGTGAAGAGGTTGAGGTATGTTCAAATTGACACCTTTGATCGTAGACACTCTTCGCACAGCTTTGCCGTGTTATATAAATTGGTTAACTCTGTGTGGGATGTTAGTGAATTGTTAGATCGGGTTGGGATTCTGATTGGTAGATACCGCACACGAAAACTTTTTTATTGCCACCAACGACATACAAAGTGTCATACAATGATCCGTTGTTTCATGTGTGCTGGAATTATAATAAGATTAGCTCTGAGATAGACATATTCCACCAATCTTTAAAATCATTTATAGCGTCTAATAGGTCCCAAAGCTAGTTTCAAGATGCGTTCATTTTGCATATTATTTGCAGATTTTTAATTTGTGCTTTCCTCAAACTTCTTTTTAAAATTATATAAACGAGCATTTTCATTTTCAAATAGGATATTGAACTAAATCTATTTAACACCAATGTTGTGCATAATCGTCATCTGTTCCAAGCTCAATAGTGTTATAGCAAGGGTATAGCATTAAATGAATGTCAAGCTGGACGTGGTTCGCGAACTGTTATTGCGTCTGAGTAGATAAATGAACAAAATAATTATAAGGAAGTCGTCCGATGACGTCAGCAGCTGGCTCAGAAAAGCACTCATCATCTTTTGTTCGAGAGAAAATCAGCGTAATTTTGAATGACTGTCTGCTAGTCATCCTTGGAGGCTGAGCGCGACACTTTAATCGTTACGATCGTTTCTGACTTCGCTGTTGCGTAAGTGCTGTTAGTGCAATGTAGTACACTCACATTCGGGCAAAGGTGCTCGTCGACAAACCGGTGCCACATACGCTCCGATTAGCTCGCACGAACAAATGCGGCAGCGGTCTGCCTCGCTCCGGAACTCCACCCCGAAACTCTTGAATTCGCACATTTTATCTGAAAACACCATGCCGCTGTTTATATCAACGCTTTGAACGATATCGATGTTTAGGAAAACACGTACCGAGAATATGCAACTGGGGCGAGTTTCCAGCTGTAATGCAAGTATTAGGATTAACACTTTATCCGGCAATACAAATACACGAACAGATGAGTAGTTATTTTACTATTCAAAATACTTACACGCCGCGGCGGGTATGCTGGTCGGAACTATTACTAAAAATATTAAGGCACATGTTTCAAATCTATAAGAAATGTTTAAATTTCAAGTACAAGGTATAATTTGCTTACCTATAGCCATGCAATGTAGAGATTTTGAACAATTGCATTATAGTTAATTATGGCTTTTTCATCTTACCTTGTTTCGCGGGACCAATTGTTGGGATTTCAATACCTGAAAGTAATAATAGTCTAGTAATAATCTTAGTAACGAACGCTAAAATAAAACTAGTTCCTTTTTGGTATAATGGTATGGTTGACCAGAATTTAGAACTGTTGCAACCTCGTGAGCAGTGCTAGGGCCGTGTACTGGTAACTATTGACCGGACTGGATGCGAAGTCATTGGGAAAGACCTTCTCAGCATGTTGAAGAAGTATAGTATGAACTTACAACAGGAAGGCTTGGTGTAACACGAGACTTCAACGGAGACGTGGTTTTGCCCCGCCGCCTCGCTGCATACGCACACCTGGCACTCGTCCCACGGGTGGTCGAATGGTGTGTTAGGCGGGAACGGGCGGCACGAGTCGTCTTCGAGATAAAGTAAATTCTTGTAAAGTATGTGCTCTGGCTGCCCAAGTTACTTACACGAGTCATAAAAACTTTTTTGCTGTCAACGGTGCATAGCTTTTACACTTTGTATTATGAACCGTTATTATGACAACAGGCGAAAAGCTGAATCGATGAAAGAGTTCGAAACATTTTAACCTGTTCTGTAAAACTAAACGTATTGTTTGTTATGTATAGGTACGATGAGTAATTGAAGCTCATGCTTTATGACTTTTCTTAACATGTCATTTAAACTTTTTCTGGCACGGTAGGCTAGAAGACGTCGGTTCGAATTCGGCCGGATCGAGGGAATTTTTTCTGAGTGTTCGACCTTTGTATTAATAATTATAAGAAACCAGTGGAGTAATTTCACAAAAAATAATTGAATAACAATTCAATGAAAATTTAAAATGTGATTTACGTTTTAAAGTTGAGTAACTTACGTGGAGGAGGACCCGGTAAAGGACCGCGTTTGTAAGGTGGCCATGGCACTGAAAGCAAATAAATATACTCTATATATAGTAATAAATAAATAAAAAAGTTTTTGTTACGAATCCTGACCTGTTTCCAAAGATGACGGCGAACTCGACGGGATGGTCAATGAAGAAAGTGCGTAGTGATCCGTGATAGACTCCGGTGAAGGATACGCTTCCGAGGAAGTTGGGTAGCCGGTTACCGCGTAGGGGAGAGTGTCTGGTTTACTAGGGTCCTGAGGTATGACTTCATCGATAGGAAATGCATATGGCCCTGACGGATGCGATGGCTTGTCTGGATGTACTGGAAATAAGCCTGGTGATGTAGAATCGTAACATTATTTTTTTTGCAAACGCATTTAATATGTCTAGTCATCTAACTCTGCTGTTGACGCAGCAGGCATTGGAAAACTGGAAACTCACGGCAATCGGGGTTGGGCTGGCAGAGCACGTGCGGCTCTGCCATTTCCGGTGGTGACCGCTGCACGAAGCACTTGCACAGCTTACACGACTCAGTAGGGTGCGGGAACAACACGTTCTGCGGCATTTTGTTGCACAGCGGTACTGTGGATGCAATGTGATTCGTAATGTCAATCAATTGCTTGATGAAGTTCCAGAATTCAGTCAGCCAATCGACGAAAAACTTACATGAAACTGGTTCGGAAGGCACGGGCATGGGTGCTATAAATAATAAATTATAATATAGGTAGATGACAAAAGAAGACGTCGTGGAAAAGCGCCTACGTTTTTAATTTGTAAACAGCGTTGTAGTACGTACATCAATTGGTTTTTATACCAAAGGATACACCACTTGAAATACAATTGAATGGTGTATGTGTTTCAACTACACACACACCATGTGTGTTAAAATTTGTGTTGAAATAGTGGCAATATTAACAAAACTTTGTGGTGTAATTTTACCACATTTGTGTACGATTTTGTTACTTAACTTCATTTTGAACCCATTAGTACAAGTTTGTCCCACCTTCATTGAAGTTATGTAAACATACAATAATTTCACTATTTGCGATAGTCTGGCACAT